AACTGAAATATTAGCTCTTGCAGCAGTTATGAAGCAATGTTAATCATAAATACTGTTCCTGGACACCTTGTAAATGTGAACATCAGAAACTATAATAAGTTTATAAAATAATGTGTAATACATCTTTACCTTGTCTGGGATGCTCTAGTCTCAGACATGAAGTCATATTACAGTATGTCCATGCTGGTTTGCATGGGTGGTTGCATTGCTGTTTATGTTGAACACAAAAAAAAAAACATAAGGGCCAATTTTTACAGGAAATAGCAGCTCCTTATATATTCGACTAGAACACAATGTCATTGAATAAATCTGATGTGTGCCAAACACAGAAGGCGGACATAACACAGGATTTCCCAAGAATTTAGAACTTATTTTGGGCTCTGTTGATTGAAAACATGAACAAATTAAAGTGCCTCCAAAATCTGGCAGTGACTTCAATACAACACAATTTTTTTTATAAATAATAAAGTTGTGGAAGGCTGAGAATCTCCTCATACATGATCTCTTCATACAAAACATCTGTTTAACAAACACATGTTGACTTGGCACATAAGCAGTTGGGGTGCGTGGAGTGTGTACAATCAACATCAGTTATTATAAAAGGGATTATGCCAGCTTTATGTGACACTAATGTCATGTGAGCTTTGTGGTTAAAAAATTAAGGTCAGCAGGAGAGATAAGCAAAACTGAATGAGAATAAAAAGTCACCTGTACCATACAGCGTCGCGACCAAAAGTTTACATACACTACATCATGTACATCACAGCAGTCTTGAGTTTCCAGTGTCATCTGTAACTCTGAAGTTTCGATGATGGAATCCTTTTTAATTGATTTAATATAGCTTTTCCACAAATACGACAGAATCTGATGGGTCAAAAATATACATACAGCAACTTAAATTATTCATTTTGGGTGTAAAAAGCTGTGTTAATCAAATTTTCTTCATGGCATGTCCTCTTAACCTCTTGTAAGTGATTACAATTGACTGCAGCTGATGGCTACTCTGAGCCATTATAAATAGGGCCCATTTGATACACTCATTAAACTCAACCACAAATACTCCAATGGGAAAGCTTAAGGAGCTCAGCAACTGAACAAGTCCGGGAAGTTCCTATAGGGCCATTTCAAAGCAGCTACAGATCCAAACAGATCATCTGTGCAAACAATGGTTTGTCAGTATTAAGTGCATGGCACAGTTACCTTCATATACAGGAAGAAAATACAAGTTATTACCAGCTTTTGGTCAGGATGGTCAGGAGTCAACCAAGATTCACCCAGGTAGGCAGGTGTGCAACAAACCTCAAACACACATCAAAAGTGGTAAAGAAATGGCTAATTCAAGCTAGAATTAAGGTTTTAGACTTTCAAAGGCTTGTCTAAGTCCTCCTGTCTAAGTATTAAACAGTGGACTGTGATGAAGAAACAAGTCTGTAACACAAAGCCAACAAATATAGTTTAACTACCAGTTCTGTCATAAGCAATGGTCAAGATACAGCCAGAAGCTTGTGGACGGCTACCAAAAGCAGCATTTATGAATCATATTCATTAAACTTTGATTTAAATGCACTTCACATGTTTCCCTCCAGGAGAGCCAGTCGTACCCCAAGTTTGTGAACCACTAGTCTAGTCTATAAATTGTATAGACTATGTCAAGATAACATACATCTGTTGTACTGTTGGAGTAGGGATTTTTTTTTAAAGAGGCTTATATTGTATATATAGTTTTATAAAAATATAAACAAAGTTTTGTTGTAGAAATGCAATGACAATAAATATCCTTGATCCTTGATAGTATATATACAATCCAAACTACTGTTTAGTATTTCTGTGTTTATTAGATCAGCTTTGACTCTAAATGTTTAACAAAGAGCCTCTGATATCAAGGACGCTAAATCTACCAATATTCTCTATAGAATGAACTTAATAGAGGCACTTTCTTAATTCACCTGTGTCTACCTTGTGAAAATGGCTTGGCCTCTTGGAACAGACAAAACCTTTTGGGTTGAGAGAGCGGAACAACATGGACATACAAGGAAACGGAATCATTTGCAATGTTTGGTTAAACCTACTGCAGATAGGTGGATGGATATGTGGTTTTATTAGCTATAACTATCCAAACTGATTAAAAGTAGCTATGTTGCTGTATTTGTAGTTTTGCCATTGTACCTCTTTCAAAACTCAGACAGAGTTGCTTTTTTAGAGTGGCTGCAGGAGCAGGGCACAGAACATGGTCAGGGACTCCTCACATCCTCTCCATAAACTGTTTGAACTGCTGCCATCATGCAAGTGTTTCCGGTGCAATGAAGGAAGAACCTCCAGAATGATCAACAGCTTCATTCCACAAGCTGTCAGAGTGCTGAACTGCTGATCCAGATATGCAAACACTTCTTTATTTAAATTGCTTTAAGTTATTGGATCCTGAAGAAACACGTTTTCATCTTGCCTGTACTATTGTGTATGTACAGCAAAATGACAGTAAATTTGATTAGATTTTTTTCCCCAACTCTTTGTATCATCTCTTGTTCTCTCGGTTCCAACATGATCAGTGACCTGATTTCTATTACAGATTTACAACATTACGAAGCAGAGCATATTTATCATGCATGCATGTCTCTGCGTTTCTGTTTCCTCTTGATAAAACTATGTAATTCTTCGTGCATGTTACATACTATTAATGAGCTGCCATAGTGGACCCTGCATTCGCTTCAGTTTTAATGACGTCATAAAGATGTTTACTCATGGCCGGTTAGCTCAGTTGGTTAGAGCGTGGTGCTAATAACGCCAAGGTCGCGGGTTCGATCCCCGTACGGGCCAGTCATAACCTTTTGTCCTTAAACTTCAGTTGTGATGGTTCAGATGTTGTCAATCATCATCATCATGTGCAGTTGCATGAAGAAATCTGAAACACGTTGTTGAAGCAGTTACAAAGCAACATTAGCATTCATTAGGACACTCATTTCTGGATGACTAGTGGATGTGAAAATCTATACTGACTATAACAAGCTCATAAAATAAAGTACAATAAATCTTTATCCTTCCGGGGATGCTCTAGTCCCAGACGTGAAAAGCTTCAGTGAAGAGGTGTATAATCAGGACCTGGTTTAACCTGTTTGGGAAATTGGGGAAAATAAAAAAGCAGCAACATTGCCTTTTCTCCTTCATACATTAAATAAGGTTTTCACAAATTAAACTGAAATGCAAGTTTGAGTCATCTCTCAACAAAAAATCTGGGATTTCGAATTTTACTGACGTCATAAAAGCGCTTTACCACGGCCGGTTAGCTCAGTTGGTTAGAGCGTGGTGCTAATAACGCCAAGGTCGCGGGTTCGATCCCCGTACGGGCCACTCAACTTTTCCCTTCAAACTCTAGCTGTGAGTGCGACGTCAAGTTTCTCTCAATTATCATGTGCAGTTCCACGAACAGATCTATAACAAATTTCTGGATGATTGGTAAATGTAAGCATTTGAAATTGTAACAAGTGTGTATAAACTCCAACAAGTCTTTATCCTCCTGGAATACTCTAGTGCCACACGTGACACGTTTCATTGAAGAGGTTTATGGCCAGGAGCCCCTTGTTTGGGAATTTGGAAATAAAATAGTGAAATCACCGCATTCTCATGTATGCATAAAATTATGTTAATAGATATGCATAATTATTCATTCAAGCTGTTGTTCGATAGGCAATATTCTTTCTACAGGCTATTTTGGTTGTCATTGACTTGCTTTAATAAGTTTTTGATTCACCATAATTATGGTTTGGTCTTTAATTCTACTTATACACTTTCAAATGATTTCAAAAATTAAACAAATCAACGTCTATTCCGTATAGTCTACATACGAACCACTTTTCTTTTCACCTCCTTATTAGGCATGCGTGAAAGTGTTACGTGACGTCATACGCATGCAGAAGCCGAAATAGCTCAGTTGGGAGAGCGTTAGACTGAAGATCTAAAGGTCCCTGGTTCGATCCCGGGTTTCGGCAGGGTGATTTTTCTGTTATTAACAGCGCCACTACACATTATGTGAATATAGAGACTCCTACTCCGTTAGTGTAAAGGACAGTTACGTAATCTTGCCGAAAACAACGTCAGTATTAATGGCCCATGCAACAGGATAGTAAACACATTCAGTATGCAGTACAAATCCAGTCAGTCATTTCATCAATAATGATGAAACATCTGTGAGGCCACCTGCAGCCCAATGTCATCGCTGTTAAAACGCTGAAAGACATCTGCCATCTCACAAAGCTACTATTTAACAGTGTTATAAAAATCATTTGATTTATATTCTACAATTTACTTTATTAAAAGTAATTAATCAAAATAACAACAAAAAGATTAAAAATGTGCCATTTTTAAATAGAAAAGAGTTTGTGTAAAAGACAGATCATGGCTGAATTATCAATTTAATGTTTAATAAACATTTTAAAGTATGTCATGATGAAAAGATAGACTATTAATTACTAAAAGTTGCACAAAATCATCCACATTTTACTGACATTGACAGTTATGGATTAGGTTCCTTAATAACTCTCATAAGGTTTGCTACTTCAAATTATAAGACCATTTATCTGACTTTCATATTAAAACTACATTAACTGCACCACATTACGCAACTGCAACTATGATCTCCACAGCTGTCGGCTCATGAAGAAACAATTACCCAAACCACCCACAGGGCTTTTGGTTTAAAAGGGTTTGATTCGAGCTACTGCTTCAGGATAGGTGTGACAGTAAAAAGGAGTTCCTCTTCAGCTGATGTCACGCGTCATTGAGCTCTGTCACCTTGCTGCTGATGTGCCTGATATCCTTCTGAAGCTTCTCCTTGTCGAGGCGAGATTTGATGTCACTTATCTGCCTCAGGGACTCAATTGCATCACACATAGACAGGAAGCCTGTCCAAAAAAGAGAGAGCAGGGTGAACAAATCGTCAACACGCATTTGAGGTGAAAATCATTCTGGTGATTGCTGCTGCTGATGCTCTAACCTTGCAAAAGAGCTGCTATTATGTTGTCACATTTCTGATAATTTTATTTTGATTGACTGATTTTAGCCTGTGCTTTGCTCGCTCTCATCCTGTTGATCTCTGTCCCTAATCTATGGTTGAAGTTATATGTGTAGGTAACAGCACTGTGCCTAAGACTGACATATTTTTCAATATTGCATGTACTCTAAGAGATATCAGTTGGTGCCTTTGTGGTGGACAGACAGACTTTCTTTGGGATATTAAATATCTTCAGTGATCTGTATCTAAATCCATGCCTGTCTTGCCACGAATATTTACGACACTCATCAATTATGCATTGATCTTCTCCCCTCTCATACCATCTCCTTCTATCTTTTCACCCTACACTTAAAATAGAGCAATGGATGAATGGCTCTCCAGCACTGGGATCGGTGGTTGAGTCATAGATCAGTTTACCCCCGGCCTCATTTACTGAGGGCAGTTTTGCCTCTTTCCTACATGCTTGCACTTTAATAAGAGCTGGAGACTAAGAGAGACTGACAGAAAGTGGGGTAGGTTTGAGATGTAGTGCCAGGCCTCCTGGGAAATGAGATGGGGATGGATGTCAACAGCAGCGTGATGGGAAGCTGAGCTGCTGTACTGGGCCGGCTCAGTGGCTGTGTATTCCTATGGTTTGCCTTGTGACTTACTGGCTTTGTGGTAGCTGCATGAAGCATTTGTAGGATAAGAGAAATACACAAATCTAATCACATTATGGTTGAAACCACATGACACGTGCGTTAGAAAGGTTCTGAAACAGCCACGTACCTCCTGCTGCCCTTTACCATCAGCATAATTTAAATATAGCTCGCGTCTCATGCTTAATTTACGATGTCATCACCAAGTCATTGACCACTGTCATTAACTGAGATATTAAACATCCCCTAATGATATGAACCACATAAATCAAGTCGTGAGGTCGGCCAGTTTTACTCAGTTTGATGAATTCTGATCAATCTCCTCGGATTCTCTCTTTCTGACTCTTGTGAAGCGTTCTTGCATGTGCATTTTTTTCCTTGACGTATATGGTAAAGCACATGTAGTATGTTTGTGTTTGCTCACTGATGACAGCAACGGAGGTCGCCCACCTCTGTGGTAGTCCTGTTTGAGCAGCTGCAGCTCCTGGTGAACGCTGTCCTCCACTGAGGTCATTCTTCTACTGACTTTGGCTTCGGAGCGTTTCAGCTGATCAGACTGGCTTTGGTCGGCTTTTCTCTGCTGCTTCTCAAACTGTTCTACAAGCATCTCCAGGGCAAGCAGACGATTGGCTAATCTAGACTCTAGCTCTAACTGGATACAGACCACATACGATTTCAAACTTACAGCGCTTCACCGCAGCTTTTCAAATCTCACACGGCACACTTACACAAACTTAAACACTCTTTTTAAGTTGAGATTTTAAGATGTTAAGATTTAAGATTTTTCATTGTGGACATCACTGCATAGAGTAGCATATTTCTAACTGAAACGTACTGTACCATTTTGTCCTCTGACAGTGAGCGGAGCTGCTGGCTGCTCTGTGCATGTATCTGGACAGAGCTGTTGAGCTGTTGTTCTGTCCACTTCCTCAGCGTATCTGTTTGCTCCTTGGCTTTCTTTAGCTCACCTGACATCCTGCCAAGATCCCAGGAATAGAAAAAAGAGAAATGCAGCAGACTTTACTTTGAAACTAGACACCAAAAACACATTTTGTAGATTAGATTAGATTATAAATGTTTTAGGAATGCACATATACTGTCTAATACCTGGAAACCTGAAGCTGTAAGAGCTGGCAACGCTTGCTATAAATTTAGGTTATATGCAGATCCTATTTGGCTTTACTTACAGCTTGGCATCGGAATAAAAGATTTGCTTTATTGCACCTCCTTGTCTAATAAACAGCTAGCACTAAATAAAATGTCTGTGGTGCGAAACAGAATGTCAATCATAAATCACAAATTTACGATCTGTACATTTATTTTAAAAGAAGCCTGTTTTATATTCAGTTACTTCAAGCTGCTTTAAAACCAATGCCTAGAATTGCACTTTCTGGCAACTAGAGGAGAGGTTTGTTTTGTTTGTCTGATTCCACCTTCAGCATTGACTAATCATTTAAAAATGTGGAGAGAAACAAAATGTGAAAAAAAAACTGTAGTGGCATGAGTTTGCATAATTCTGCACGAACTGTTTAAAAAGCTGGATGTTTATCGCAAGGCCTCTTTGTGTAACTCTGAACACTGTATTTGTTTGGGAGAGCAAAACAAACGTCCCTTTCTTTGTAATATTGGAAGAGGCTGTTGTTTACATAGATGCATGTGGTTCACATTATTAGCATAGCCCATTGGGTACACAGAGTCAAAGTGTCTCAGATGGAAGCTGCAGCCTTGGACAAACTGTGTGGGCTGCGTTACACTACAGGACACAATAGGCAGTACTTCATAACCTTCTTTCCTCTGATCCCTCCAATATAAAGTGTTCTTCAAACGATCAATAAGGTAACTGCCTCATCTGTGAGTCAATGTTTGACTGCAATACAAATCAGACTCCAAAATCTGACTGTCTGTCTCAACCACGAAATGGAAAAAGTAAATGTGCTGCTGTTTAATGTGCAGTTCTTGTGAGCTTGACTGAATGTTATTATCAAGCATGCTGGCTTCTTTTGACAGTGGTTTTGTGAGCTATGTGTAGCTGCGACCAACATAAAGATGAGTTCAAGGAATGTTAAAGGCACTTTGACAAAAGAACATTCTGTGGGCAGCTGGCTTTTCTGTGGAGTGTTTGTAGGCATCTTAAAAGAGAACTAAACAAGACAAAACCACCAACAGACATGACATGGCAGGATACAAATGTAAAGGCTGATAACGTGCTCAAAAATGTGCTCGGTTTCAAATACATAAGGTCAAACAGAGACACTGGATTGTATTAGGAAAAGACCAAGGGCATCTTTGATCGACTGTCCTGTTCCAGCTTATGAGGCCCTGACTGGCAAAGCTGCCTCTAACAAAAGGTGACAGCAGGCACAACTCAGTGATTCTCAGATATAAATGAGACGGTCAGGACTGAAAACGAGATTGATGTCTTTGACTTTGGATGTTTAACAAAGAACCACTGACATCGAGGATACTAAATCTACCGAGACCCCTCTATAGATGGAACTTTATTGAGAGGAGTTTCATAATCAGCTGTGTCTACCTTGTGAAAATGACTTGGTCTCTCAGAGCAGACAAAACCTCTTAAGCTCAGAAAGTGAAACAAGCAGGAGGCAACACAACTTGCACTGTTTAAGCTATTTCACTGTGGTACTCCACTGGTTACGCTTACCATAGATGGGTGGATGGATATATCATTTTATTTGCTATAACTATCCAAACTGAATAAAAGCAGCTTTGTTGTTTTATTTGTTGTACATGTTTCAGAAACTCAGAAACTGTTTCATCTATTTTTATCTATTGTTCTCTTGGTTCCAACATGATCAGTGACCTGATTTCTATTACAGATCTACAGGGTTATGAAACAGAGCATATTTATCATTCATGTCTCTGTGTTTCTGTTTCCCCCTTGATAAAACCATGTGATTCTATGCGCATGTAGCTGGGCTAGTAAATCAGCTAAACTAACAGACTTTTTGTGCATCCTAGATTAACACTTTGAGCTGCCAATGGCTTTGGATTCCTCAGCTTGGAGCAGCTATAAAGAGAGCTGGGAGTGACTGGGGATATTATTTGGTAACCAAATGAGGAACTCAGTGAAATAGTCACTTGATTTTCTATGTTATGAGTCTCAACAGAGTGAAAAAGGGAACATAAAGAACATGAAGCACCGCTGAAAGGCAAATGAGCAAGACGATGGCCATATTTCCCAACCAACACATTTAGTTGTTAAAAATTATGTGGGAATTAAAAAAAAAAAAAAGCACACTCAGATTTGCAAAAATGCTCTAACATGTTAGAAATGACCTAACATACAGTTGTTTAGAGGAATACTATTCTAAATCTAAATAAATAAATAAAATGTTAGAATTAGAAGATGGAATCCTGGTGCCTTTGGGTTGTACTGACTCTTCCGTTAATGGCCTTACCTGTCTTCTAGTAGTTTAACTCGTCTATACAGATCAGATACTGAGCTCCTTTGGCTCTTGGAGTGCTTTGTCAATGAAGCCTCCTGTCTCCTATGGTCACGATCAAACTGGTAAAAGGGAAAACACATGCCATTATGGGATGTCGGAAGATTTTGTGGCACCAGCTTCATTGTCTGACCTTTACCCTTTTGTGGTGTCTGCTGATTGCGCTACTGCTGCAGCCAGTCAGGACTTGGAGTTACAGTGGTGACCCACTTTCTCCGCATTTTCAATTATTTTTATGGTACATGCTTGACCACTGGTCCACAGCTAATGTGCTGCCATCACAGTGATTTACCACTCTGTGCCACAAAACAGAACTGAGTGCTGGGTAAATCACTGTGAGCGTGTGTGTCTGTGCATGTGTGTGTGTGTGTGTTGCATGCAGTTGCGGTACATTTTACATTTAATAAAGTGAGGAACAGCATTCTAAGATGTGACATATGTGTCTTAATCCAGGGTTTAAGTTTTTAAAAAAAATAAAATAAAATGTTGATCCTGTGAAAAAAAAAATAAAATAAAAAAAGGGACGTGCAGTGCAGTAAAAGCTGTTTATGAAGAGCTTGACATCCCTGTTTATATTAATTTCACATCTCATTTCTTTCTTTCAGACTGTGGTTATAGCTGAGCCTCTGAGGTTTCTTGATAAGGATAGTCTCACACAGCAGCAGTTAGCTCTAAATCACCTACCAAACAGCGAGCCGTCCTCTCTGATACAAAATACAAACCTTGTGTATATACTCAGGTTATTATTTCTTGCATGCATGCAGTGTTTGAATGAATGCAACAACTATTCTACCTCTAATGAAATCACAAAAGAGATGATTAATCCTGAATTTGAGACTGGAATTTGCACGATTTCCTGGCTCAATACTAAACATGTGAGTGTGTTAAAGGTGGAATATTTGATTTTACTGCAATACAATTTTTTATCAGATCCAGTGCATATCTATTCATGGCTGTCCATTCTGTGTGGGGAAAAAAATATATCGGGTGTTGGTTGCCCTGGCTTTGTAAACAGGAAACAAACAGCAAACTAGCATTCATTTTCCAGAACTGTGGACTCTACCTACAACACAGAAGGGAGTTAGGTTAGGGTTGCAGCTTTTTCTACTTAGTATAATATAACATATATAAATAGAACAGAAGGAATCTACAGCCTTGCTAGTGGGTCTTTGAGTTTGTGCTTTGAGCTAAATAGTACTGCCAGTACGCTACCATGCTCACAATGACAATGCTAACATGCACAAACATTTTGAGGCAATCCATCCAGTGGAAGTTGAGATTTTTCTGAGATTTTTGGGACTTTGAATCACTGATAGCATTGGATGAAGAAGTGGAGTGATCACCATCGTAGTAAGGGTTCATCACTGTGACCACAGTAAATGTTTATATCAAAATTCACAATGCCACAGCAATTTATCCAGTAGTTATGGAGATTAATCCCTTAAAAACTAAAACATCATCCTGCTGGTGAAGCTAGAGGAAAAGACTCTCATAGATCAATCATAGCAACAAGACTTCCTTTAGTTCCTTGAAGACGTTTCACCTCTCATCCAAGAGGCTTCATCAGTTCTGACTGAATAGTAGGGATTTCCAGATACTTATATCCTTAAGGAGCCATTAACACCTGAGTTTCGGTTTCAATTGGGGGTTTGTTGCTCCTCCCCCTCGTTAAAGGTATGAAGTTTATCATCTGGGCACCCTGTCTAAATAAAATTTTATAGCAATTCATTTGAACAGTTGTTGATAAAGAATTTTGACATGTATAAGTATGTATTAAAGCAGCAACCTTAAAAGAAAAAAAAAAGTAGACTTTCTTTTTGGCTTCTGTGCTATGGCTTTCCTCCGTGCTATTCTGCGAAACCCTTTGTTTGCACTTTCTCTCACCTTGACTTCCAGCTCTTTGAGCTGTACACCCACGGCTGCCCTGAGCTCTGCAACCTCCTTCTGCAGTTTAATCACCTGCTGCTCTCCAGAGCTCACGTCAGCGCTCAGTTTGGCGATGCTGGCATCACACCTGACATAATGGGTGGGGTAGCAGAGAAGACTGGTGAGAGACCACTGAATGGGAATAGTGGGATAGGAGGGAGTTAATGTAAGGTGTGAAGAAAGAGAGATGAGCTTGAGGAAACAGGGAGGAAGCTCTTTACTAAAGAACACACAGTTCCAATGATATATAACCAGGCAGCAAGATGAAAAAAAAAGTCAGACAGCTGGCCCTATCAATACTTTTCAAGGAAAGCTATTAGAAGCCAAAACAATGCCTTTCTGAATTCTAAGCAGTGAGAAGCTTTAGTCTGAATACTGAACATGCACATTTGAATCTTTCAGTGGATACAAGTTTGCATCTCGAGCCAAATTAATGATAAAAAAGTACAAGAAAATATCCTAACTCATCAAATCAGATAATCTATTTAATATCTTTATCAACTTATACACTGTGGTAAAATACTTTGAAGCCTCTCAAAACCGTTCTTCCAACACATTCTCTTCTCAGTTTGTTTGATAACCATGAACTGTGTTGATGCTTAATATCTGCATATATAATCTGCATTGCATGCTTGGTTTAAGACATTATAATTAAGCCTACAAATACTCTTTCTTTTCCTTTATCAGGCCTGTCTGTGTGAATTTCAATATAATATTTGTGATTAAACCTAACCCAGCAACTAATTACTGGGATGCCAAGTGTGAAATTTTGGTTATTTCCCTGCAGGCTCCTACACAGCTTCTATAAATGGCTGCACTGACCAATACAGTTTATCAAAAACCAGTGGCCCTTAGCTTACTTGATTATTGATGACTAATATGTACGAGGTCATTAAAGTGAGTAGCTGAGTTTTTTCTATTGCCTTTACTGGATCGTAAATTAGCTTTCTAGGCAATCTCCTGTCTCATCGCTGAGCCTTTAAATCTTACGGCAGAAGCAGGCCTGCTGTGAAACAAGATATTCACAAAATAACAGTACATATCTGATCTACTGTCTGATGACGGATTACGTCGACTAAGATGTATTGACCAGTGGTTGCCAGGAATGTTCAAAGCAATTCAGCCAAGGTGGCTGCACAGCAAAACACCAATGCAAATGCACAAGGGACTTCTTAGAAATCCAGTCTAACAAGTGCGATCTCGACAGACACTGAATAATGAGCCAGCGCTAATCAGCATCTAAAGTGTGTTAAATCTAGAAACTTCGCTGTGGTGAGAGCAAAATAATTGCACGTGTCTGTCTGTGCCATGGCTGATTGGAAGTTGTGAGATTGCAAGAGTTGCCAGACAGGATGCAGGCCATGCAATTTAACCTCATTAGACCTCGAGAAAAACAAGCAGAGTATCGGCAAGGTATGTCAGATCCCTGTAATTGCACAATTTATCAAAATAATGTTTTGCTGTATTTATCCCACTCTGTGCACTTTGCACCTCAGTATTTGTTGGAACCGGGACTCGTGAGCATACCTGGCTACTCTTCCTCTCAGGTCTCCAATGCCAGCCATGTTTTTCTGCTCCAGCTTTTGAACAGCTAGTGTGGTTCCAGAGGTAACGGAGTCCCGCTGGGCGATCTGTCTCTCCAGTGTCTACTCACAGGAACAAAGACAGCATATTTGATTCACAATATCTATTTCATTATGATGTACTGTGGATATTTTCACTAGAAAATCAATATAGATGATAAAATATATATATACATAGTGCTTAAATTTATTAGACCA